GAGAAAGTCTCACCCAACAGAAAAGTCTTGCGACCCCCCAGCTCTCCCTGGAATGAGCATCCGACACAACGGTTCTCCTGTTCACCAGTTTCTAGTCAATCCCACTGCAGCTGAAACAGGTCATATAGGCAGAGCTACAGAGCCCCGGCCTGTCTCCTGCTCAGGAAGCCAGGGTCTAGGCGGTGGGTTACGGGTTCAGTGAAGTCAGGTGAGGACGTCTGGTGGCTGCTGGTTGTACCTGAGTCAACAGTCATACAGCTCACACCTGAGAACTGGGGGAGGGTCGGCCTCATGTTCAGTGTTCTTACCCCAATCAAATGAATTTAAAAAATAAAAGAAGCTGGGGTCGAAATGTGTGGCTCTACGGTTTACTTGGTTTCCTCACCTGCGAAGGTGCAGTGGGTACCTGCCTGGAGAGGACGGTGGGTGAACACATCACGGAAGGACCAGGCTCCCTCCTGGCGCTGGGACCCTCTGTTTCTCCCTGGAAAGGATGAGTGAGCCACATGGCAGGTATCTGGGAATTGGTCACACATAGATTTAGGAGGGAAGGGCTATAAAATCGGGGTGAGCTGAGCCATGGGCGTGAGTGGGGAGGGATGTTTTCTGAATCTGGGGCCAGAGGGGCCTGTGGGCGCGGGCGCTGCTGCCACCCACTGCATTCCTGGCAACAGCTGAGACAGCTGGAGGGCGGGCTCGGCTTGAGCTGCGTCTGACTCTCCAAAAAGCCATGGCTCTCTTGTGGGGAAGAAGGAAGAAGAATTCACACGGCTTCGCGTCGGTACTACGTACCTTATCTCAGGTACCCTCCCAGCAAGGCTGACAGCAGAGAAAGCCGCCCAGCCCAGAGCCTCCGAAGAGGGAAGACACGCCGGACCACTCCCCACCTGCCCTCCACGCCCACCACCCCTGCAGGGAGCAGTCAGGACCAGACACACACCAGCAGGAGAGGTGGGAAAGCAGTTCGGACAAATACCTGGAGGATCATAATCAGCTGTGAATGATTCTGACTCTTTTAAAAGCATCACCTGAATTTATATTTAACTCGAACAAAACCCTGGTGGAAACCTCTTTGTTTAGGGAGGCATCATACAATTCTTCTTCATTTCCCCTTGTAATATTCTGGGCCCCCCTTTCAGAAAAGGAAAGTCCTTCGAGGCTGTGAATTCTGTGCCTGTTTTCTTCCTTCACAATCACTTACTCAGTGCAGTTGCATGTTAAGTCATGTGCTGAGTATTACAGGCAACACGCAGGAAGTCTAGTCTCCAACCTGAGGAATTTATAACCCAGCCCAGGAGGCAAGACTTCTAAACGTGGAATGCCTGGGCACCTGGGCACCTGGCAGGTCGGTGGGCGCATGGTGTGCGGTTGGTGCAGACATGGGGCAGGGAGCAGACGAGAACTCAGCCCTGACATACCTACTCGGTGCTTCACATCCAACTGGAATCTGGGACCAGAAAAAGGGCCCATCAGAGCATTGCACCTGTAGGTGGCAATGATGCAGATTAACTTATTTAATCCAATCTACAGGTTTATGTAGCAAAAAGACAAACATTCCCATTTGTGCTTTTAGTTGTGAAAGTACAACATAGCTTTAAATATCTTTCCTGGAAGCTTCTCCTTACACAACAGGCCAGTGGGTGAAAAGAAGGGCTGGAAAAAAAGATGATCAGGTCCAAAAGATCCAGAGATGTGCAGGGGAGGGGCAGGTAAAGTGTAAGCGCCGGGGGGAGGTGAGGAGGTGACTTGAGGGTCTCTTAC